TTTCAATCTGTTTTTCAATAGACACTTAAATCTATTCGGGCAAAAGTAGTAGTTTTTCAAGCAGTAAATTTCGTGCTAACGGCATAACGTAATGTGGTTTGTCGCGAAAACGTGGATTTTTTTCGCGCATATCTTGGACAAACTTGCGTTAACGTGACGCACCGGTTTTTTGTCGAACTTTCAGTTACACTAATAGGTGTCATCAAATTATTTAACTAATACCCTCTCATATTGTGTTAAAATTTTTCATTGATTTTTCATAAAAATTCATAACTAAAAATATTACGATTGTGTTAGTTGCACAATACGAATTACGAAACTTAACATTACACAGTGATCTGTGAGTACATTAGAGTCTTTTACCCTCAGATAATTTTAATGATTTTAGCATTTATCCACATTATGATACTTGGTGTATTTATTTCTGTTATTATTTCGAAAAAGGCTGATTTTTCAAGTTATGTAATATCAATACTAGTATTTCTACTAATTTACTAAATACCTGATGAATTCATAATTTAATCTATGCCTTCGAAAGACACTTATCTCTTCAATTATCTAATTTTACTCATGTCATCAAGCTTATTATCTAGCAGAGCAAAGCAAATGTTATCATCAAAAACCGATAAATTCAAAGACGCAACTAACTTCCCTTTTTACACGACCTTGTCTAACTGTATTTCAGTCCTCATTTCTCCTTCGTGCTCGTTCCGGAAACTTGTTTGCCGTGCTGTTGAATTAACACGAGAACGTAATTTGTGACTGTCACGCGTCGCATCCTGTCTATAGTTCCGCCTTGGATACCAAATGACAAAAACAAAAGCTTGGCAAAGGTAACTGCATTAATAGCCGCCATATTTCAGACTACCGGAAACAGGTTCGAACGGGAGCGGGCGTGCAATGTTGCGGTATTATTAGTTCAAAGATATATTGGACTTTCAATCAAAATCGATTTTTCATTTTATGAGTTCTAAGCATGATAATTTTTCTTCTTTTAAATCTCCAATGAAATAGATTTAAGTTCACGCAGAGCGAGCTGCACCTGGGAAAATCGGCTAATTTCTTATAGTTTGACCTTTTGAAGTGTTATGATGAAATGAAGCGTCATAGAAAACATGTAAATCGATGGTCATTTAACATTGTACATAACACTTAGAATAATAATGGCCCTGGCATCGATGAATTGGGCCATGTTTAACACGGGAATATATTGAAAATCTTCCCGTCATTTATTCTGAAATTATGGTAAGTATTTTCCGGTTCTTTCTGTGCATTTCTGAACGACCATTGATCTTCTCAGATCTATTGTTGAGGGGGTAAAAATTGGTGCAGTTTTAATGTAATTGAAAGCGAAGGAGTGAGAAAATTAGGTTCTTGGAAAAGTTTTTGATTAAATAAACGCTATGTGAAGGAAAAATAATTTAGCATTGTAAGACAGCCTATTTATCGATGATATAGGCGATACTAAAAGAAGAACCAAAGCAGGCAAATCAAACCATAACCTGGAAAAATAAGCAAATATCAAAACAAAACAACCAAAATACGACTGAAAATATCTGAAGTGTTATTTTACTTTATTTTATGACAATAGTCAGAGGCGTGCAGGACATTTGCGTATTTTTCCGGTTACACGAAAGGACTATGTTATGCACTCCAGACACTACTATGGACATTTGCGCTTTACACTTTTATACACCTGTACTAAAATGGTTCGGACATTTGCGCCTTTTGTCTATACTGTAATTCGTATGTCCTTCTGCAATGCAATAATCAAAACGGACAGTGAAACTACAAATATATTGCATCCGAAAATGAAAATAACCAGACAATCAAAGATAATTTATTTCGTAGCCCACCATGCTTTATTGTCTTAATCAAGGTACTGAAAGAGTATACAAAATTTCCCAAGTTTAAGGTTTCAGAGGATTAAGTTTTTTTTATGTTAAATGCGAAGATATTTGTACACCAACAACTAAGTAATATATAAACAAGACACAAACCATAGTGATCACGATAATGTACCCCACGCCCTTACCTCTTGGAAACAATATAATTCTTTGTGTAAGACTTTTTGAAATATAAATATATATTCAAGGTTGTGGTAAGAGTTGTAGCCTTCTTTCAAAGGAGCACGGACAATAAGGCCTATATTTGGCCCAAAATTTAGTATAAACGTTATCATATAAATGATTGTAAATATGCCCTAACATGACTTAGGTAAAACCACAATTGAAATAACTGCATAAAATCAACCTTTTTTCATTTCAGTGAAATATGCGTATATTATGACGAAATTATGAAGTGACATAACATTGTTAATCCCATCTTATGCATTTACATTTCTTGATGCTACTATATGCATTTTGCTATTTTAAAAAGAAATTGGAATTAGTTCTCTAACATTTCTTTTTCTTGGGTCAAGCATGAACCTTGGTGTTCCTTCTCCTTTCGGTGTTCACGTCTCCATTCTGAAGGGACGTTGCTGTGAATTTATACATTCCTCACAGCCAATCGGACATACCACTTTGGCCAGGGTTTTACTGCCGTTCGGAAGAAGACCAGGGTGGCCATTTTTCTATACCCCATTCACCCTATCAAGTTTACATAACACTACAAAGAAAACTAAAGACTGAGGAACAAGAACCCAATCAAATAACTAGGGATGATCGCAAGTGCTCCGGAAGGGCAAGCAATTCTTGCCCAACTAGTGCCACTTGTCTTGTTATTCATGGTAAGTACAAATTTGGTGATGTCATAATCGAGGATGGGATTGTGGTAACTACAATTTTAACGTGATCATATGTGACAAAGATATTCCATAACGTTGAAATGTGCACAACATTTAAGCAGGAGCCAACGGAACATAACCATCAAGACGTTTCGTTTTTTCCTAAATGAAAAAAAAACACTTAGTTCCTGTTGTCCGTGTGTATAATTGTATATATTTTTCTATGAATAAAACGAGATTTGAGATTTACGTCAATGAAAAAATTAGCAGCGATCCAACAACAAAAAGAAAAACAAAATAAGAAAAAACATATGCATTGTTTATATGATAATTGTTTATTATTCATTGTTCAAACTTATTAACTTTAGAGCTGCATTACATTATATCTAAGCTGATTCAGAACCTTCCTTCATTTTGTGTTTTCTTAAATATATTGGGGTTGTTTGCTTGTGTAAGTATTCAATAAACCCTTCAGTTTATCAAATACTCAATTACTCTGCTTGATGGAACTTATGTAGATTATGACATAACTTATTCGAATTGTTATAGGGCTCGGAACAAAACTTAGTGTTATAATATAAGTTCTAATTATCAACTATTTATTTGACCGCAAACTACAGAAAATGTAAGTCTGAAAAAAGTTTCTGATTGGCCTTTATTCCGGTTAATTTCATGCACTTTCATGCGAGAGAAGGACAAAAGACGAAACAATGATTAAATTGGACACATGTCTTACTCGACAGGGCATCTCTACTGACAATTCCTGAATATCAGACAATTATATCAGAACGTGATTTAAGCACGTCTGAATTTTACAATTAAAATTTGGCTTCATAGTGACAATTTTTATAGGTTTAGAAATTATCTAATTATCGAATGCAAGTGGAAAAAAATATAAAGCTCGTCAAATAATATGCATTAACCCAACTATGAAACAAATGCATGGTCGCCACTACTATTGTGTATTGTGAAGTTATAACTATGATTTGAAATGGTGTCTTTAAAATATATTGCCCTTCCCGTTTTTCGCTCATTAAATTTAGTAATACACGTCATATTAACAGAATCTAATGCACATGTACCGCAGCTTAAATTCTTGGCAGCGTTGTTTTCAGTTTTATTCATGGTGACGTCATAATAACATAATCTAATGCACATGTACCGCAGCTTATAATGTAATTACAACTAATATAATTATTCAGGATTTTTATTGGTTGATAGCCAGTGTATTTTTCATGTATTGTCTTTTATCAAATGAATATCGTTCTTAAATCACAACAGCAGGGGTAATAAACAATGGTGTGCCGTTTTTACCCTCTATGACAAAAAGTCCAGACTAGGTACCCATCCGGTATTTGACAGGATTAAATATTTAGATATTCCGAAGGCATAATGAATATTTTACGGCTTCACGGAGACGCTTATAATTTGGAGAGTTATATTAAATGCAGCTGTTTTGCTAATGTATTGATATGTGCAAAAGAATAATTGATTGTTGGTAGCTTAACGTCCAGTGGCAATCTGTATTTCATGCATTTTAAGGACTAGCACAAATTAAAAAGTATTGAAATGTGTAGGTTCTGTTAAAACATTAACGTTAAGGTTGTGGCCGAACTGGATGAAGGACGGGAAATTTGGATTGCACTCAAAATGAAGATTTATTTGATACATAGGGGCACAAATTTTGCCTTGTAACAGGCAACCTACGTGCCCCTCAGACAGTTGTTGCATGGGTTCTTCAACGTCCAGAGAGTGTGGCACTCTCGTTACACGAGGCATCGGATTTAACGTCACAATTCCGACTGGACGTGACTGCGTATGTATACATTCCGCACAGGCAAACGGATGCCCCACTTTAGTAAGGGTTTAATACCGAACAGGAACCCATGGGGTTGATAGCGAAAGAATAACGGAATTAATTCGAATGTTTGACTCGATTATTCCTATTGATATTCGTATAATTTAACAGATATATCATTTCAGGAAGGGATTTTACGAAAAATACCTGTCTTGGGGAAGGAATTTCTTATACCAATCTTGAGAAGGAACTTCCCTCGGCTATAGTGGCTATAAGGAACGTTTACCTTTTCTCGACTCGAAAATTACCTTTACTGAACATGATATATCTATTGTCATAAAACCAAATTTGCTTTTTTATTTATCGACATGAATAATGGTTTTAAAAATGAGTAGCCAGAATGTTTTACAAAATACAAACCTGAAACCAGTATATATATATGCTAACCAATGTTTTATTATTGTAATTTCCTAAGTTCATATCTTTATCTATAAAATTCACAAAATGACAATACAAACTGAAACTGAATCGACTCCACTGAAGTTACTCATAGTTTTGCTCCTGTCAGATAAATTGATAAAAATGTTGACATATGAAGAGTATTTACGAAATGAACCATTTAAATCGGGTTATATTAGTTGTTAGAAAATATGGGTTTGACACACATCTACTGCGATATGGTATCTTGCTTGACACTTCCTGAATTACAGACAATTACATCTCAGTAATGATTGAAGCACGTCTTCATATCAAAAATCTTTAGGACGTATTCTGTCACCATGGAACTGTTCTTACTTGTCAAATATCTGTGTCGTTTGGTTTCTTTGGTGACACGTCGCGTGGAAACCTCTGGAAAAAGATAATATGCTAATTATTTGCTTGACTTGGATTTGTTTTTTTCGAAAGTTGTGAATGTAGATTGTTGTAGAAGTTCAACATATCTTTACAGTTTGTTTTCTTGATTTCTAATATTTAATATTTGTGAAACGAAAGGTAATATTCAACACTTTTATTGCAGCTTGAAGTAAAGTGTGGTAACAGGACAGAAATAGACAGTTTAAAGAAAAAAGAAGAAAACAATAACAAAAACAAATCACCCTACCACATTAAACTTATGTTACGCAATTCCCACAGAAAAAATGGTTTCGGCAATCAAATGAAAGTTAATAATGAATCCTATAATGATTAAATATCACTATATATTCACTAAGTATCATTTATTTGATTATTTATGTCTGAATTCGTTTTCAGATCAGTATGTATGCGTTTTAGTACTGATTCCGGTTTTTTCTGGAATAACCTAAACGAGGAATGTTTGCGCCAACAGGTTTGGGATTTATATATTTGAATGATCCAAAGCAACTGCATATTTTGTGCTCGGTAACGTATTAATGTAAGGTATATATCGAAAATTTGCTGAAAAACACCAAACGTTAAGCAATAATACTAGAACTTTAGAGGGGATAAATGTCGGCAGAGCTAACAGATACATATATCTACCCATTTGTTAGATTTGGCAATGTCAGTGTTTTGCTATGGGAAACTCCAAAAAGTCAGCTGGACGACAAAAAGGAAGTAACATGCGCAGGAGTTACGGATACTGCATACAAGATGCCCACTTCCTTTTGTGGAAATGACAGTCTATATTATGGTAAACACAATAGACATTGCATAATGGCATTAAGGTAGAAAGATTTTGTGATAGTTCATTGAAAACTTGCCAATTGTTGTATAAGGAATACGGTTTAAAATTGCCGACTCGACTGGGTGAATATGAGCATGTTTTTCTATTGGGAACCTTAAACCATAAAGATAACAAAAAATACAACTGTAGATAACTACTACATATAACACAGCATTATATTTTGAAAATATTTTGTGAACATTTTACCGAAACCAGTCATTAGTTTAGAAGGGGTCGTTGATGATGTCTTCCCTCTTTTAAGGCAATGTCATGTCATGTCCATACAGGTCTTTTTCTGGGTTGACAATTGGAAGCAAAAAGAAACAAAAGCATTACACTCATTTATTATCGATTGCTTTGACATGAAAACATATACGCACTTAGAATCTATATATTGAACAGTAAAGAGACTGAAATTATGAAGAAAAAAATTAGCGTCCTTGAAAAATCGGCAATTTACATCAGTATGACAAACTAACCTATAACAGAAACCATTTTTTAGACCGTGACACATCGCTGTTTTTCTCTCATGTTTACTACCCAATATCTAATCAATTAAGCTCGATATCCCACCATGGAAAATGAATTACAAAACATGATAAATGTGTAATGTTATATTTCATTTATGTTTTATTGAGTGTTGCAAGAGTTTGTCAAATCAAACGGCGGGAGTAATTGCCGGAGGCGGTACACGGATGCAGACATGAAAAATGACATTAACAATTATGACCTGTTGTAACTGTATTTAATCTCTTGTTGCCTCCACTGTCTACATCCATGTTATATATGCATGTAAATAAAGCAATGTGACATCATAAACAAACAAGTACACAACGGCATGCAACATTCAGACGTAAACGAATCGACGAGACTGAGAAGTCACCAGAAAGAGATATATCCATTTGAAAAACTGCAAAAAAAAAGAAGACAAGTCATCAACATTAAGACAGCAACCAAACAACACATGAAAACCAAACAAAATAGACATGTAGAGGTCATGAACGATGGACAAGCGTCAACCTATGTATACACATTTTAATATTTCCGAGTTTAGACAACTTATGAAAAAATATATATATTTAACAGAGACGATAAAATATCGGACTTATATTATTTTAAATAAGTATACTTCAATTGAGGTTAGTGTTCAATTTTCTCGCAAAAACTAGTCAATCTTGATTACCAACGGAGATTTATCGGGACCGCTAATTCCAAAACAAATTGAAATTATTACCTATGATTCTGACAAGTCTTTCCCGAGACAAGTCTTTTACACAACAAAACAAACTCGTAGCTTTATTCATTAAAATTTTTTCTTTCCTTTTTTTAAACAAATTGCCATACAATATAACATTTTAGGGCGCCTATGGAGCGAATGTCTTTGAAATGAAATGAACAATGATTTTTGTGGTTCTTTATCTGGATTATTGATGAAAATGTCTAAAAGAACAAAAGGACTATAAAAGCCAACGCAAATGTTCTTAGCGTCTACCTCGGCATTATTCTTTTAAAAAGAATGTGCGGGTTTTTAGACTATTTCCTGTGTTCATCTGGTTTCGTTGTCTTTGCATAGATCTTTGACATATTTTATGTTTAAATATAGATACTATTGCATGGAAAGAGGGTGTAGTTTTGCTGTGTTTAAATATAGATACTGTTACATGCTGAGAGGGTGTTGTTTTGCTGTACGCTTGAATAAATCTTTTGTAATCAGATTCATATTCGTATTAAACATTTGTCTTGCGCAACCAACACTATTAATCAGGAACAAATCTGGATGTCTGCTACAGTTGGTTGAACGACTGAGTTAAAGTACAACTGACATTTAAGACGTAAAACTTTAATACATCTTATTTGAGGTTAAAAAGTGCCAGAAATTTACAAACAAAAATTATTATGGGATGTCATATGAGGAGAACAAATGACCACAGTAATTTAATTGTTTCGTGAATATTTAATTTTTCAATCCATTATTGTGTGTTCTAAAATAAAATTAGAAAGAGTTAATTTGCAACATGTTAACCTTGTATACAGAACCCGTGTTTAAAATTGTGCAAAAATTAATAACGATATAAATTTAAAGAGAATAAAATTCCCTTTGCAGTTAAAGTCAATTGCATGTGTTATTTACAAGATGTTTGCCTTCATTTTAGGCGTGACTGCACATAGTAAAGACCTATTTTTGTTTCCTTTTCATATGAACGATGACTTGAAAATGAAACAGGTTATGATACTCTATCATAGATGTGACCATAATATTTTCTGATTTCGCGTTGTGTATAAGCTAACAAATTAGCAGATTTATAAATATGTTTGATAGATTTAAAATATGTATGTGATAGTTTTGACATGATATGTGTTGTGAACAATTATTTATAGTTCTCTCTGCATGGTTCTTGAATGTTGAAACATGGCACGCTGTTGTTTCTCTCAAAACACAGACTCAAACTCCTGTTTTCCATCTTCAGAGTCTTAACAAACTCTGTCAGAGGAACTATGTTTTCTATGTTATAAAGAACAAGAATGGCTGAAGCAAATATGGCTGATGAAGTTATTTAACCCACTTCAGCCTATAAGGTCGGTTAAATTAAGTATTTACTATATAAAAAAAAACTATTTTATAGCTTTATGCAAAATAAAACCACAGGCTGAATGTATGAATTCAAACCCGTCGGGTTTTTGTACCTCTTCAAAAACTGCAACCTGATTTCGTTCCGATTTGCTATTTCTTTTGGTCATGGTATTGTCTATCCTTCATCGACTTTTATCATTATTGGTTGTCTCTTAGAAAATGTTACATTATTCTTTACTAAAACATTTCAACGGACATAGTTTATAGTTGTCTCGTTGAAAATCATACTCTGGTGGATAGTTGTCTCGTTGAAAATCATACTGTGGTGGATAGTTGTCTCATTGAAAATCATACTCTGGTGGATAGTTGTCTCATTGAAAATCATACTCTGGTGAATAGTTGTCTCATTGAAAATCATACTCTGGTGGATAGTTGTCTCATTGAAAATCATACTCTGGTGGATAGTTGTCTCATTAAAATTCATACTCTGGTGGATAGTTGTCTCATTGAAAATCATACTCTGGTGAATAGTTGTCTCATTGGCAATCATACTCTGGTGAATAGTTGTCTCATTGGCAATCATACTCTGGTGAATAGTTGTCTCATTGGCAATCATACTCTGGTGAATAGTTGTCTCATTGGCAATCATACTCTGGTGAATAGTTGTCTCATTGGCAATCATACTCTGGTGGATAGTTGTCTCATTGAAAATCATACTCTGGTGAATAGTTGTCTCATTGGCAATCATACTCTGGTGAATAGTTGTCTCATTGAAAATCATACTCTGGTGGATAGTTGTCTCATTGAAAATCATACTCTGGTGAATAGTTGTCTCATTGAAAATCATACTCTGGTGGATAGTTGTCTCATTGAAAATCATACTGTGGTGGATAGTTGTCTCATTGAAAATCATACTGTGGTGGATAGTTGTCTCATTGAAAATCATACTCTGGTGGATAGTTGTCTCATTGGCAATCATACTCTGGTGGGTATATAGTAAACCACATCTCTTTATTCCTTATTAATAAATCTGACAATAAAGTTACCCGGAACTAACTACTTTTTATAAATAAGATTTCTACTTTTAATTTATTTCAAGTTGAGACAAAGGTAGTCTAAACATTTTAAAAGAGACGAATAATTTATAAATCTTTTACCTTAAATGTATGACTTTCAATAGAAAAATTTTTTTGAAATGAATTGAATTTCATACCTCATGACAAGTGGAGGGAGGTATATTTCTTTCATTATGTAACACTTTTATAAAAAAATGTATATACTACAAACTAAAGCGACTGTTTTGCTTCGTTTACTTTGTATCTCAAAATAAAATATTATAATTAGACCCTAGTATAGAGAAAAAAAAATACTCGAAACAAACGCCCTAATAATTTGGAAGTTCTCTAGATATTCATAAGGTTTTGCATACAAGACCATGCCAAGGTTTAAGTGTCTGAACATCCAAAGTAGATATATGTAGCTGATTTATTTGAAAAAAAGAATTTAATAATGTTAAACTATTAAGTTGGAGGGCAAAATGCATAAAATGAATGAAGTTTCGCAAAAGAAATACATTGAATCTTTTTTTTTATA